ACCAACGGCACCCCGTCAACACTATCCCGCCATCGGCATGGATCCAGGCTGAAGTTCACAGAAATGCACTCCTCCTCCTCCTCCTCCTCCTCCTCCTCCTCTACCTCCACCTCTTCCCCTTCCTCCTCCCCTCCCTCCTCATTCGTCAAAGCCTCTACCGCATGCCACCAGCCCGTGGGAAGGTAGAGCACCGCCCCCGGCCGCAGGACAAAGGATTCGGGGGAGGAAGAGGAGGGAGGGCCGTGGAAACTGGGTGCCTGAAGAGCTTCTACAGGCATCCCACAGGCCATGTGAAGGGCGGTGTCCCCCGCCCTCGACCGACGGTTGGATGAGGAAGGATGGTGGTTGCTCAACGGCTCATTCAAATTGGAATTTTGAACGGTCCACCGTTTTCGGCCCCGGATCTGGACCGTAAAATTGTGCTGGGAGTCCCAATGGAAGGGAGTATGATGGGGGGGGCGCACGGCAAAGACCTCCATGTCCCCTCCCCCTTCCCTCCCTCCCTCCCCTCCCTCCCTCCCTCCCTCCTTCCCTCCCTCCCAGACCGTCGCCGGGGAGAAGCCCCAGGTCTCGGGAGAGCGTCCGAAGGTAGGGCCGTTGCGTCTCCCAGGGCGGGTTGAAGTAGAGGGAGTGCCCTGCCTTGTGACAGGCCTCCGCGACGGAGGGAGGTACCTGGTCCAAGTATTGAATGTCGTCCGTAGGGTCGGGGGGAGGGGGAGGGGGAGAGGGAGGGAGGGGAGCGCGAGCCCTTCTTCCCCCCCCCTCCCCCGTGGAGGCCGGGGGGGGGGCAGGAGGCTTGCGTCCGGCGATTCTCGCGGGAAGGAGGCCGAGGCTCGGTCGTCTGCCTCTGGCCTGGGATGACGTCATCCCAACCACGCCCTCCCTCCTCATCGCCGCATTTCCCTTTCTTGGCGGTCCTGCGGCCGTGGGGGGCTGGTCTCTTGCTCAGCCCTGCGACTCGTCCGCTTGCCACAACCTCCTTTGTGCCGGGTCCTGGTTTTCATCCAGACAACGATTCGATGGGCCCGCTCCAAGAGCCGCGATACCCGCAAATGCAAGGTGGAGAAAGGGAGGGAGGGAGGGCGGGAGGCAGGGGCCGAGAGAGGACGGGGACGTTTCCGACGATTCGATGAGGGCAAGACGCCGATGGGATCCAAGTTCCGACACATTTTTTTAAGCCGTCCAGCTCCAGCTTGAATGACGAGAGCCTTTTGGTTCCAGATTTCCTTTAAGAAATACTCGGGCGTCAGAGGATAAATGAGGCTGGCCAGGCTTGTGTCAATTTGGGGGGGGGTAGGGCTAAGCTTGTTCCCATGCGCACCAGGCGTGACGTCGTCGAAAAGAAGATCAATATGACACACCAATCTATTTTCCTCTTCGCTGTTCTCTGTTGGCCTCGAAAAGTGAGCGTCTGGGGCGCGTGCGAGGGGGCTGAGGTCGGTTGATGTCACCCGCACAACCTCTCCGTTCAAGCGACGGACTTTGATGTTGCTAGAATTGCTACTTGCCTCCCACAATACTCGTACCCGTTCCTCCGATTGCAGTGCCAGAGGATCCGTAGCAGTATGTGGATCTTGCTTGGCCGTGCGACGCAACAGGGCATGTCGCGTGGAGATACGACTCGCTTTGCGTTCCTGTACAAGCCGGGAGGCAAAAATAGACGAAGGGCCGGCGGTATTTGTAGTCGCGCTGCCTGATGTATGAAAGAGAGCAGCCTTGCTATCTTGATGGCCGGTCTCGGATTCTCTATAGAAGCTGAACATGAATGGCGCCGGCGCAGAGGTGTTTGCAGCTTTTGTTGGAGCGGTGAGGGGAGGTTGTGGAGGGTTTCCAACCCGTGCCAAGGCGGGTATCGTGCAACATCTGCGCTTCTTGGCCGAGCTTTCCATCCTTCGAATATATTTAAGATTGAGTTGATTAGAACCCCACTTTTACATTTTTTATGCCCTGGACCGAAGATCGTGCAATTCTCCTTGATCTTGGGCGGGTCAGGACCTAGACTTTGCGAAAAAGCGCGCGAAAATCGCACGAAACACAAGGAGCTTGCAAGTCAGGAATACCACCAAAATTCATGCCGCCTATTCACATGAAAGTGACATGCCATCCTTGATGACCAAAATTACAGCATTTAATCTTGCTATGAAAGGCTACAAGGCTAGCAATTACAGTCCTTGTCGTGGCCCCCAGGCGTTCTATCCCTTCTCCTTCGGGAAGAGGCCAAAAAGACTTGTCTCCGTGTGGGAGAACCGGCTCTTCCAGCAATTTCTGTGCCTTGAGAAAAAAAGCAACGAATAATTGTGACCTTATTGGCTAGGAGTGATGCGCATGTATCTGCATGGCCGGGATATTTCTTGTGTAAAAGGTCGTCTTGCTCCGTAAAGGCTTCAAGGAGAGAGGAGCCGAATTGTCGGGCCGCGGCACATACACGGAGGCAAACAGAACAGATGTGTCCATATGACGCGAAAAATTCTTGAGAGCGAGTAGCTGGTCCATCGTACATTCCTTTTTTACTTCCGATACAAAGCTTTTGAACTCAGTTAGCTTTCATTTCATGACTCTATTCTTCGGATTTTGGACCGCGCTCATTCAAAACTTCGGGGTCAGGAAAAAGTGCAACACAGTGACGTCACATTTGTGCCATCGAGTTTCTGTCCGCCCTCTTCCACACGACTGACTAGTACATTCTTTCTCGACGACCAATTCTGAAATATACAATCCTCGAAGGGTATAATTCAGTTGAATGCAACATCCTCCCTATCCTCCGGGCCCACCATGGGTGAGGTGGGTAAGGAGGAAATGTTTGAAGACATGTCCATGTCTACCCCCTCGAAGTCCCCGAGACACCCTCTACTATTCAAAAAGCGTGTCACCGGAGGCATATGGAGGTCCCGGACGCCAAGGACTGCATCTTGCTCGTCCGGTTTCGTCTCCTCGTCTTCGTCTTCGTCCTCCCCCGACAAGAGTGGGATAACGTCCAGGGTGAAAGCCCAGTGACGCCCATTTTCTGACACGTAAGTAGTGATGAAGGCTTCATGCTCTTCAGGGAGGAGGACGCGGCGGAGACGTTTCCTGGCCGGTTGCGCTCCGTCCGCATTGCCAGTCGCTCGGTTATCTTCCAGACTCCTCACATCGAAGTCGGCCTTGCCCAGCATCTGAAGGAAAGATTGGGTTGGAAGGTGAGGAGACCAACCGGCTCGACATCACCTGCGAACGCATCCCTCCTCTTGGAGACACAGCGCTTTCCCCGCTTGTCGGGCCCCGCCTCTTCCCCTCCTCCCTCGACCCCTCCTTTGCTTCGGTCCCCTGCTTCCTCATCATAGACCCAGCACCGACACCTACCTTAAGAACCTTCCTCGAACAGCCCACCTGTCCAGGAGGTACACAGAATCCGGATTCGATCAAGCCCTCATAATAAGTGGGGAGGGATTCGGGTGCGATGATGCTGGAGTAGGGAAGCAAAGTGCGCGAAGGAAAGGAAGAAAAACGCGTTAGTGTCCGGCAGGAGGGAAGGGAGGTTTGAGGGGTGGGAAAAAGAGATGTGGGCGGACAGGTCAAATCCGGGGAGTCAGGGAACCGAGGGTTTGGGCATAGCACTACTGCCACGATTCCCCCCCTGCGATTGGCACAGGCAAGCTTTCAACCAAATATACTCTCCCTCCGTTTTTTCTCCCTCCCTCCCTCCCTCCCTCCCTCCCTACCTCTCCCAGAGTACATCCACGCCCCATCCCTTCTCAGCCATATCGATCCGCAGCTCCTCCTCCGTCAAAAAAATCGCCGCAAACGACTTGTCGCACACGACCTCCAGGCAAGCCCCTTCCCTCCCACCCTCTTCCTCCGTCGGGAGGGACCAAAAGATTCCACAACGCGCCATCACGGCGTTGGCTTCCGGGGAAGGCAACCGATTGTTCTGCGCCCACCTTCCTTTCCCTTCCCTTCCTCCCGCATAAATCTCCGTCTCCACCTCTTGGGGCTCCCTGCCTCCTCGCCCCCCCGCAGGACCCCCCGCCTCCCCAAACCCCTCCACCTTCCTTTCGCCTTCCTCTTCCTCTTGCCCCTCCTTCCTTTCTCTTGGTCCCCGACTTTCTTCCTCCTGTCCTCGCCCGGCACGACCGGCCGTTCCCCCCTGTGCGTGGCGTGACGGTGGCGGGACTGCCCTGCACGGGGGCGGAGACTTAGATTGCATGTGTGGCTGTGGGAGTAGCGAGGGGGGGGAAGGTTCCAGGTACGCCATGGCTCCGCCCGTGGAGGCCCTCAAGTCGAGCATGGGGGCGGGGATGCCAGGGGTGAGGTGGCGCGAGGGCGAAGTCGCGAGGGGAGTGGCCAAAGGGGACAGACGGCAGCGTTTTCGACGCAGGTTTGGGGAAAGGGAAGAGGGTTTGCAGGAACGACCGTCCTGTTTGGGGCATGGCTCCTTCAGAGCATGGGGAGTCAGAGCGCTATGATCAGGATTCCTTTCCTCCTTCCGGCCCTCGACCGCGTCCTCTTCTCCTCCTCCTCCTCCCCCTCCTCCTCCTCCTCCTCCTCCTCTTCTCCGGCTTCCGTCTTCTGTCCCTTGCTGCCCTCCTTCCTCCATATCGCCCAGTCCTCCCCATCCCGACTGCCCTGTATCATGGCTAGGGACTACATCCTCCTGGTTCTTATAGATTGCGCGCCCGAAGACCTCTTGGAGGTCGCCTATCCTCACGTCTGTCCTCCCCCCCCCGGCCGAAGCCCCTCCCTCCCGGCCCCCGTCCCACCAAAAGTCTCCCCCGTCCCACGCCCGGTGTCCCTCTCCATCGTCTTGAAAGGAACCTTCCGATTTTTCTCGGTCCGTGAGCGTGGAGGGGGGGAAGGCAGGCTCGTCGTCCACCTCTAGCCGTCCAGCTTCCGGGTCGAGGCCCTCCGGTTTTCCAGGAAGCCGCAAGCGGAGAGGAGAGAGAGGACCGGGCCAGATACTCAAGGGAGAGCGGGGGAGCTCGGAGGGACTGATCCCTATGATGAAGGAAAACACATGGAGGTGGCCGTTGGTAAAGTCCTGCCCGGGGTGTTGGCTGTTCAGGAGGTGCCAAGCGTGCCTGCGGGAAAAAGAAAAAGGGCCCGAAGCGAGCGAGGAGGAGAAATAGGAAAGAGTGATCGATGTGAACTTTGAGGAAAGGCGTAACGAGGTATGGGGAGGGGCGGTGAAGTCGTCTCGTGCCCTGCGAGACCCTGCCTCCCTGAGATTCATGGCCCCCCGTCCAAGCTCCTTGTTGGCCGAGCCCACCCCTCCCATCCACATTCAGGGTCTTCGTTTGCTCTCCGCCTAGGCCTTAGGGACTACGCCATGGGCAAAAATGACCGAGTCGACTTACAAGAGACTTCGTGCACGGGCAAGCACGACATGGCCTCGGACGAAATGCTCGATCAACGTCATGCAGTACGACCCCTGGACTCCGCCGCCGCAAGTGGGGTGGACTGATGCGGAATGACGCATGGAGACTGCGTGCACTTCTTTGGATTTGATTTGTTCGTCAAGTCCATCAATCCCGCCTTCTCCGGCCATACCACTGTTATGAAGGCCACTCAGAACCCGGCGGCGGGTGCAGGCTTGTATGCTCCAGACATCCTTTTGTGTGTGTCTATACACGCGCTTCGAGCGCGGTTCCGCCCTGTTGTCCATATGTGATTGTTCAAGGTGTCACAGCAGCCATTTATCAGTCCTTTCGATTCAAGAATCGCTGTGTAATTTCTCCGTACCAAGTTGCATGTCGCCCCCGTTCCCATCGGTCATTACATCTGGTGCTGAGGCCGTCGGAGGCCGTCCCACGGCTACATACATAGCGGCAACGACCGCACAAGTCAACACATGTATCATATTTCATCAGAACAGAAGTTTCAAGTCGCTGAGGCCGCGTTGTTCTTTTATGCGTTTTAAAAACTTGTCATGGGGCAAGGGGGCCGCCGACCAGACGGACCTTCTCTTAGTTTTTTTGGGCGTGCAAAACGTGTTTTACGAAATGGCAGCCATACATTTCAGCTATACTCAGTCAAGGTACATATAATTTTATATTTCCATAATATACCTGAAGCTTTCTCAAACTTAAAGCGCGTTTCAATTAAAAAAGCTGGTGGTACTTAGAAACGGTCGTCACCGTCTGTGACTGCTAAGAAAAAGAGGGGAAACCCGGCTGCGACCGATTCATGGCTGTGTGGTGACACTCTTTCACAACACAAAAAAGTTTTTCCACTCGAAGTGAAAGTCATGAATGGACCATTTTTCATTTTATATGGTCTTCCACCCCGAAAAACTTAATAGAAGGGCAAGTGTTTGGGCAGGCTGGCGACTGTGCCGTCCGAGCGATATCGTTGGCAACCATCAGAAGGTCCCACAGAATTAAGCCTACTTACGTATTTATTTTGGCATTTCTACAGTAGTTTTACTGCGGCAATATCAAAGAATTTTCGTACACCACCACGTTCGAAAAGTCCCTGCAGCGTTCTGTTGGTTTTCAAGGGTCTGTTGACACTCCTAAGGCATGGTGAATCTCTGTGCTCGTGTCTCCGTAGAACCGTGATTGACCGACGAAATCCTAAAGCGCATTTATCCCGCGACTTTTGCCGCATGCGCTATACGGCTCAAAGACACGCGGCGTAACACGCATCGAAAATATGGACACGAATACATGGAAGACTCGATGCGGTTTGCATGTGAGGTGCCTGCTGGTGTCTCGGTCGCTCATTTCTCCAAGATTACTCGTGTGGTCTAGGCACACGTAAGTACCGAAATATCGGCAGATGAAGGCAGTTGCCCACCAGTGACCGAAAAAGCGATGCTCATTTTTGTTAGACAGCTCTTGGAGGAGATGGACTTCAGGTCTTGCGCTGTGTAAATATCGTAAAATAAGGTCATCGAGCCGACCTCAACTTGTCTCCAGGGATCAGAAGCTGTTATGCGAGAGTTCCAAACTAGTGCACTCAAGGAGAGGGACGAGTTGACTTAAGACAACGAATGCGCAGTAACTTATGACGTGAGAGTCCCGAACTTCGAGCTACCCATTCAAGTGATGGTGATTCCTGTTTCACTGTGGCACGACGAAGCGTAAAAGGTCTTCAACCAGCAAATATTAACTTTCTGAGTGAGTAATGGTAAATATGCCCTCACAAAATAATATCTGCAACGACAAACACAGTGAAGCTGAGGATGGAAGTGCTTTCAAAGGAAAGATTTGCGGAGACTGTAGGAGCGGCGACAGTAGGAGGGGTCAATGCTGTCATTGAGGAATGGCTGGTAAGGAGGTTACATCAAAGCAAACCATTGTCCTTTGCATTATTTGTTGTATACCAGAAAATGCATGGATGAAAGTTGTTGACAAGCAGGCACATCCATCAAAGAAGGAAAGATCGTCGTGGTTGCATACCCCAGGCAGCATCTGGGTGACTTGAACTTGACTCCTTCGGTACTTGGGAGCGACGCTCAAGGGTCTAGAGTAATGCGGCATATGCATACGACGATCACTCATTCTTGACACTGGCTATCACACCATTAGGGCAAGCCCCTTCCGCGGCTTTGCAAGGGAGTTCCCCCTTGTCCTCAGGCACGCCCCTCTTTCCGCCTTCCTCCTCCTGAGCCCCTCCCACCCTATCCTCTCCTCGTCATTTCTCCCCCGGCGTGCTTGAAGCACAATATACCCGGACACTTCGAGCGACCGGCACGACTCACGGCCATCCTCCACGCCCTCCATCCGCCCTCCCGCCTCCCTTCCCTCCCCCCCCCTCATTCCCCCCCCTCCCTCCCCCCCTCTGCGTTTCTCCTCTCTGATGCGGACTGCCCCCGCGCCACACACGAGCAACTCGCCCGCTTCCACACGACCCAACACCTCGCCCACCTCGCCTCCCTCTTCGCTGAGTCCCAGACCTTGGCCGCCACCTCCCAGGTCCAAGAGCCTTCTCATCTCGACCCTTCCTCTTCGCCGCACCTATTCCCGTCCTACCCTCCTGCCTCCCTGATTGATATCGACGGGGACACGACCGTTTGCCCCGGGACGGAGGAAGCCACGCTTCGCGCCGCCGGGGCCGCGTGTCGGGGTGTGGAGGAAGTGATGGAGGGACGGGCGGAGAGCGTCTGGTGCTTGGTCCGCCCCCCTGGTCACCATGCCACGCCCTCCCAGTCCATGGGCTTTTGTTTTGTCAACCACGCCGGGGTGGCTGCCATGCACGCGCGTGCTCGATACGGGGTCCGGCGGGTGGCGGTTTTGGACCCAGGTGGAGAGGGAGGGAGGGAGGGAGGGAGGGAGGGGAGGGGAGGGAGGGAGGGAGGGAGGGGGAGGGACCAAAATGACGATCGGGCTTTAGGATCTGGATTCACGTCCCGAGGGAATAAGCTTCAAGTCTCGTGGGCGCTCAATTCCTCCCGTCGTTCCTCCTTTCCCCCCTCCTTCCCCTCTCCTTGCCTCCCTCCTGGTAGACGTCCACCATGGAAACGGCACCCAGGACGGCTTTCGTGACGATCCTGACCTCTTCTACGCCTCTACGCACGTGGGCTACGGGTTTTACCCTGGCACGGGCTCGAGAAAAGACGCGAAAGGGAGGGAGGATCGCCTGGTGAATGTGCCCTTCCGGGAGGGGGAAGGAAGCAGCGAGAAGTTCCGGCAGGCGTGGGCGGAGGAAATTTTCCCCAAGTTAAGAAAGTTTCAGCCGGAATTGATCATTTTGTCGATGGGATTCGATGCGGTGGCGGAAGATCCGTTGGGGGAGATGGAGTTGCGCCCTGAGGATTTCGAATGGTTCAGCCGGGAAGTCCGGCGGGTGGGAGGGAGGAAGGGGGGGAGGGAGGGGGGGAGGGAGGGGTGCGAAGGTGGTGTCGAGTATTGGAGGGAGGGTACGATCTTGCAGCACTGGGAGCCTGCACAATTGCCCATGTGAGGGGATTGTTGGGTGCTACCCGTGC